CTGCAGTTGGGTCTGCATACCCACCCGGGCAGGGTGAAGTCATGGGCTGATGGAGCTGGGGCTGGATCACTCCCGCCAGCCTCTGGCACTGCAGACAAGAGATGAAGGAAGATAGAAGTAGCTGATGCCGGGCACTGGAGCCAGGGACACACACTGGGAGCGTGCAGATGAGCTGACTGTTGCTTGTGTCTCAGCCAGAATGGCTCAGCAGAGAGCTGCGGAGAAGCCATTTTCGAGCTGTGTGGCTGCTATTGACAGTAGGCCAATGGCAATAGTGATAGGCCCTTGATTGCCTTTCTCATGTAAAGTTGTCCAGTCTTATTTTGCAGCAACCGGCTTCCGTAGGTATTGCTATCTGTGTCAGTTAGGAATAGGTCCCACTGTGAGTGACCAGACACCCAAAGTAACAGAGAAGTTTGTTTCTCTCTCGTTGTAAAGAAGCTCAGGTGGATATGCAGGGCCAGCGCGGGATGCCTTGGTGCTGGGATCTGGGGTCCTTCGGTCTCGTTTCCCTGTTGCTGTTGGCATGGAGTTTCCACTTCATGGTCCAAGATGGCGGCTCACTCCTCAGGCATCACAGCCACATTCCATTGGTGGGGAGACAAGGGGCTAAGAAAGAAGCACCCTCTCCTTTTGAGGACATTGTCTGGAACGTAGTCCATGACCCTTCTGCTTACGTCCTACTGGACAAAGCTTAGTTATGCCTACTCCCAGCTGCCGGGGAGGCGAAGAGATGGAATCATTGAAAGATTGAAAATTGAAGGTGCTATGACTAAGAAAGAAGGGAGGAACAGATCCTAGGCAACTTTCAGTCTCCACTCTGCCTTCTTTATAGGGGAGGAAACAGAGGCACAGACAGGCGAGGTCATTTTCCCACAGACACACACTTTGGAAGTGATGGGGTTGGGACTGTAGTGCAGCCTTGCTTCTAAAACCCATGCTCTGTCTTCTGTAATCCCTTTGTCTAACCTGGTGTGAGGAAACAGGTGGGGAGGGCCGGGGGCATGGAGGAAAACCACGTAAATTGTGGTTTGGTGACAGGTGACGGGCCTGTAGGATGCAGTCAGGCTTTGAGCCCTGCTCGCTACCACAGTTTGTAAACTGTGTGGTCTGATGACCCCCTGACATTCTTTTTTTTTTTAAAGATTTTATTTATTTATTTGAGACAGAGAGAATGAGAGACAGAGAGCACGAGAGGGAGGAGGGTCAGAGGGAGAAGCAGACTCCCTGCCGAGCAGGGAGCCCGATGCGGGACTCGATCCTGGGACTCCAGGGTCATGACCTGAGCCGAAGGCAGTCGCTTAACCAACTGAGCCACCCAGGCGCCCCGACCCCCTGACATTCTTAAGAATAATAGAAGACATGAAAGAGATTTTCTATGGATTATCTGTTGATTATGGATTTGGATTATCTATTGATATGTATTATATTAGAAAATAAAACGGAGAAATTTACAACATACTCATTTAAAAAATAATAAACATATTATATTTAACAAGATGACATCTTTTTAATAAAGGCCACTATAAGTGCCAAACAGAAAAATGTCTAGAGAGGAGAATGGCATTGTTTCACAGTTTTGCAAATCTCTTTATTATCTGGCTTAAGAGAAATCAGCTGGATTCCCATGTCAGCATCTGTAGTCAGTCTGTGGTGCGATCACCTATCATCGAGCTTCTGGAAAATTCCACTGTGCACTCATGAAAGAGCAAGAGCCCAAAGGCCAGATAACATCTTAGTATGATTATAACAGTAGTTTTGATCTTATGAAGCTCTGCAAGGATCTTGGGAGTCTGTAGGGGGTTCCTGGACCAACCACACTTTGTGAACCGCTGATCTAGTAAATGCTTTTCTCTCCATGCCTCAGTTTCCAAATCTGCAAGCCTGTTTATCTGGCCTTTCTCTGAGGAGGTTTGTGTTCTAGCAAGGTGTTGCAGGCTTATGAAGGGCCCGTTTGTGGGAGTGGGTGCCAAGGTGGTGTCTGAAACCACTTTATTTGTTCAGGGGACATTGGTGATGTGTGAGATTGGGAGCCGGAGGGGGATGAGCTGGAGAGTAGCCAGGGTAAGATCCTGGAAGACCTGGCCTTGCTGCCTTTCTAAGGAGCTAGAACTTTGCCCTTTAAGCTGGGGTGGGATGCAGTCAGATTTGCCTTATGTACTGACTTGGGCACACACTAGAGATCTAGAGGCCACATGACCAGTGCTTGTTGAGTAAAGGTTTGGTCACCTCCTACCTGCCGATGTCTCTCTCCAGGGTCTGACAGGACACAGTGTTGGCTCCATCCTGGACTTATTTCTGTCTCGGGACCTGGCCTGGCCTGACCAGGCTACCTGTGGTGGAGCGGGGAAGGCTGGGAGGCAGAGGTGGCAAGCTAGACGTGCCACCACACTGCAGTGGGACCCTCAGACTGTGGTCACCCTCATGGGCCGAGTTCAGGCCAGAGCTGACCAGAGGAAGACCGGAGGGCAAGATGGGAAGACAGACTTTTCCTTTTGTCTCTGTTGAGAAAGATATCCTAGCCAGATTTTCAGATGCGCATGGAGAGGCCAGAGGCATTGTTCTAAGAAGGGAGGTGGCTGTTTCTGCAGAAATCCACTCCCATCCTGCAGGTGAGTAATCAGAAAACACCCTTCTTGCTACAGCTTTCTGTAAACCATTTAATATCTCAAGGGACCCCCCAGGAAATGTGCTGGAGGACGGGTCCCACTTTTCCTCTGAGCAGGGAACAGACAGATTTGGGCCAGCTGGAGATGGGCCAGGCTGGACTCTGCCTCACGTCGCTCTCAAAGTGGGAGGGGACGCTGGACTCCTGAGTCTCTTCTTTCCTCTGGTTGACACTGTGCCATGCTGGTGGGAAGCCCAGGTGCCTGGTCCCTGCGGGACTGTCCCGCGCTATAGTGTCTGCTCCAGGCGCTGTCCCACAGCCCAGTGGGGTGACGGCAGAAGCACTAGAAAAAACTCGTGGAGCCGCCTTTTTCGGTTTTTCTCTGGTTCGAAATTGTGGGTGAGGAGAACGGCCAGCAAGAGCCCGAGCCTCTGGCCCTCCCCGGGCACCCTTGGCTGCCCTTTCAGAGCCCAGGAACATCTCTCTCCGAGGGACCTGTCTCATGGGTTGGGCAGTGTAGCAGAATGGAAAGAACTGGACGCAGGCCCTGGCCTCCTCTCCTGAGTCTCAGGAGAGTCTCAGACCTGCCTGTGGCAAAGAAGAGAGGGTCCCTCCTCCATCCCCTCACTCGAAAGAGTCTCCGAGATACTAGTAAAGCGATCATGTTGTCATGGCAACCATTCATCCTGGTGTAGCCCAGTCTCCCCCAGATGCAGACAGGGGGAAAGGGACAAAGATGTCGTCTGTCCTGCTGCTAAGCTGCCCAGCATTCTGGAGGACAAGCCTCCTGGGAGGAGCGAGGGTGGAAGGGACCTCTCTGGTGGCTGGGAGATCCACAATGATGATATGGAGTCATCATTTTTGCGGTGAAACCTTTACCTGCCTGATTTCATTCAATCTCCCCTACCATCGCATCACATAGGAACTGTCCTTATTATCCCCAGTTGACAGAGGAGCAGGGGTTAAGAAATAGCCCAAGGTCACACGGCTAGCAGGTGCAAGAGGCGAAACTCAGATCCGGAGCTGTGAAGCCATAACAAGTCCAGGGCAGGACTCTTCCCGGCACGGTCTGCAGAGACCTCAGTTTCCCCTGTGTGAAATGCCCGGGATGGCACATGGCAGGATGCGGGTCATCACCCAAGACCTCAGTGGTCCTGGGACCCACTACAGTGGTCTTCATTCACTGATCGCTGGCTCAGGGCCAGGCACCGCCAGCAAGGCAGCACCTGTTGGGATTATTCCTGTGTTACTCAAGGACGCCCTTCTCCAGCGAGGTGAGGGCATTTGGCTCAGTCCCTCCCGCCCGGGAGTGGCAGGGCTGAGCTTCAGCCCTGCAGTGGCTGTAGAGTCTCCCACCTGAAGGCAGGTAAGCCAGACAGGTGGGGTCATGCAGGGAGCAGCCACGCTCAGCAGTGGCTCAGCTGGCTCGTTGTCCTTGCCCTCATGTCTGCAGCCGAGCAACCCCTGCGGCGGCCTCTCTAACAGGTGCAGGGAACCAGCCACGCCCACCTGCTTGCACCCAGCTGGGCCCTGGGCCTCCTTCGGAGTTGCACCCCACACCCCAGCACCCAGCCTGCTGTGACCTGGGGCAGCTGTGACATTCTGCCCTGCTTCCTAGATGGATTGGAAGATGCACCCCAACTCCAGAGATTTTATTTTATTTTATTTTATTTATTTTATTTTGTCACATAAAGAAAACTTTCATTTGCTGCAAATAAGGAGATCACGGGGAATGGCTTCCAAAGCTGTGACTCCCAACTTCAGAGATTTTAAGATTTTATTTATTTACTTATTTGAGAGACAGAAAGGGGGTGGGGCAGAGTAGAGGGGGAGGGAGAGAGATAAGCAGACTCCGTGGGAGCCCAATGCAGGGCTCCATCTCACAACCCTGAGATCATGACCTGAGCCGAAACCAAGAGTCAAACACTTAACCCACTGAGCCACTCAGGCGCCCCATCAACTTCAGAGATTTTAAACTGAAAAAAAAAAAAAAGGGCAGTTAGAATCATTAGAACACAGAATGCAGAGATGTTTACGAAGACAATACGTAGGAGTGTTTGTACTACTGTGTTTCGAGAGTACTAAGCAACAATTTCAACCCCGCCCTGTGTTGTTAGGTTGAGGGTATCAACAAGGTGGTAAATCCAAGGACTGCATTTGCCTGGCAGAGGATCTGGGGGACATTTCCGAGAATCCTCTGGATTGATAAGACTGCTCAATTTGGGAACTGTTGATCAGCACCTACTCCGTGCCCGGTGTGAGGGAGTGTTCCCGGTTTTCCAGGCAGGGCGGGATCTTCACAGAGCCACGTCCAGGAAGACAGAAGCCAGTGCCCCGCAGAGCCTGGGCCACACGGCTCCTGTCCTCACCGTGTGATGTCTCGTTCCCGCAGGACCCATGGGAGCAGTGCCGGCTTCTGAAGAGTGCCTCGGTGTTTGCCCGCTGCCACCCTCTGGTGGACCCTGAGCCTTTTGTGGCCCTGTGCGAAAGGGCTCTGTGCACATGTGCCCGGGGGCTGAGGTGCCCTTGCGAGGTCCTCCTGGAGTACGCCCGGGCCTGTGCCCAGCAGGGGATGGTCTTGTACCGCTGGACTGACCACAGCACCTGCCGTAAGTCTGCGGCCCACGCTCCCGGCTGGGGATGAGTGACCCCGTCCTGGGGTGTCACTAGGGAAGCCCTCGGGCTGTGTCATGCTCCTGGGCCACCTGATCACAGAGGCCTGGCCCGCAGGGGGCGTCCCTTCCCTTAAAGGCTGCAGCTGGGAAGGCCGTCCGGCACCTGTCCCCTTGCCTCCGTCCTAGGCCATGCCTCCCTCAGTGCCCCGGGTCTCCCTCAGGAAATCTATTCCCTGGATTGGGAGAACATTCCCTGCCTCTGACGGGAATCCCACCTGTCCTGATTTCGGCTCACGACTTCGCCGCCTGCCTGTTGACGAGGAGCAGGGAGTTGTCCAGACTGTGATCTTGCAGAGCTTGGCAGGCTCTCCATAAGCCCTTCTCTTTTATGAACCCAGCCTTCTCTCCTCCCAGCCCAGGGCTCCCCTTTCCCTCCTCCTCACCTCGTGACGCCCGTGGTTTGGATCTCCCTGTCTCACTGGGTCCCTGCTCACTGTCATTGTCACCATCCCCAAATTATCATAATTAAGTAGGAACTTCTGTGGTTCCCTTGAAAGAAGCCTCCTCTCTCCCCAGACTTTCCACCATGGACCAAAAGCCATGCAGATGGACAGTGCCATAATTACACAGGCCATCCTGGCTGATGGAGGCAGAACAGCCGGCCAAATATTTACAACACACACATGTTTTTCAGTGTGTGTTTTTTTTCCCCCGCTTATAAATTAGAGCTTTTATCTCTGCTGTGGGGGCGTGAGAAGGTGGCTATTAGCAGCTGGTTTCTCCGCTGTCAGGTGGAGTAGCTGTTATTTTAGGTCTTTGAAGATAGGGTTGGGGGGGGGAGATGCCTCTTGGAGGAGAAGGGGTTCGGAGCAATTGTTTGGTGTTTCGAAGCCCAGGAAAGGTCATTGGTATGTTCCGGTTCTTCAGCTGCTCTAAGCATCAGTCGGCCACAGGGTTGAGAGACAAAGGAGGGGAGCCAGTCCTTGCCCAGGAGGAGCTGGGTCCAGTGGGGGAGGACAGATGCTTAGGTGATAAGGCCCTGAAGACAGTCCTGCAACACAGTGGAAAATAAATAGGGAGCAAGTCACCCATGTGGGGAAAGTGGGTGTGAATGGTGTGTACCCTGTGCTGGGTGGGGCCTTTGACTGGGGCCAGTTTCATGAGGAAGAGGAGCCCTCAAAGGAGGGATGTGATGGAGGAAGCCACTTACCCCTTGCTTGGCCCCAGAAGGACATTTATTTTTAACCTAGAGGAGTTTGATATTACCTCCAGAGGGTTTTAGGTGAAAGGGACAGAGCATAGGGGAACAAAAAAAATACCAAGCTGTTCATGGAGAAACAGATGACCAAGGGGCAGGGGTGGTGGTCCCAGGTGACTCTGCTGAGTCTTAGCCAGGCTCTACAAGATGGAAGATGTCCCTTCAGGGGAAGCGTGGTTGGCAGGGTGGTCTTGGAGGGCGCGTGGACCATTGGGGTGCCACTGGGGTGGAGCTGGCCCCTGGGGCCCTGAAGACAGAGGGGAGCAGACAAGAGAGCGCAGGGGCTCTGAGGACGGCGTGGCTTAGGAGGTGCTCTCTGGGGTGCTCCGGGGAGACTGCTGGGTTTTCCGTTTCAGGACCGGCATGCCCGGCAGGCATGGAGTACAAGGAGTGCATGTCCCCTTGCACCAGAACTTGCCAGAGCCTGCACGTCCAAGAAGTGTGTCAGGAGCAATGCGTGGATGGCTGCAGCTGCCCTGGTAACAAACTTCTCACTTTATTCGCAAATCCCAGACCTTGCCAGTGCCCTTGGCTTGGGGAGGCCAGATGAAGGCCACTTGTGTTTATCACCCATTGCTGAAATCAGAAGCCTTTTATTTATTTTTTAAAATGTCTTTGTACAGAGGGATCAGGATTGAGCCGGGGGTTATTTTTAATTTCTGTTTTCCTGTTGTACTGGATCCGTGAAAGCGCGTGTGTCTCGGAAACAGAAGGACGGTCTGGGCTCCGACAGTGACTTTGTTTGGGGAGCACGTGGCCCGATCTGAGCGGCACTTTTGTTTTCTCAGTTTCGTGTCAGGGCACGGGTCTGGGTGAAAGATATTTTAAAACGTCTCCTGGGTTTGCCATGTGAGCTCAGCTGAAAAAGAGCTTTGCACTAGAAAGTGTTTCTCAGGAGAGGCCGTGTGAGCTTTGGTGAAAAATGCTGTTTAATTACTGAGAGTGAGGCCTGTGTGTTTTGACTAATGACTTCCCCGCTGGACGATCTTGAACAAAAACTCTTGCCTCCTTTCTTCATCTGTGCAATGCAGGTTAATAATGCCCTCTCTTTCAGTGCGTTAATGTGAAAGTAAGGGTCATACAAGTTCTTCAAGCTTCCTGGGAGACGCTCTCAGCCTAGACTCATGCCTTCCTCACTGGAGGACCTTGAGCAAAGCTCTTTCCCCCATTTCTTTGACAGTAGAGCGAGATTAATAATCTTCCTCCCCCCTGTATGGCCCTAATGGGAAAGAGCAACATCATGGAACAGGTTCTTTGAGCTTCCTGAAGAAGCCCTCAGCTGTGATCACCCACGGGGATTCTGTAGCTGGGAGATGAGTAATGATGATAAACTGAGTCTTTGCCTTGATGTCCTTGAACACAGAGGGACAGCTCCTGGATGAAGGCCGCTGCGTGGGGAGCGCTGAGTGTTCCTGTGTGCATGCCGGGGAGCGGTACCCTCCGGGCTCCTCCCTCTTGCAGGACTGCAACACTTGGTACCTGGGGCTGCGCCGTGAGGTCTGGGAAGGTGGCCCAAGGGCAGTGGACGGGGATGCTGGGCAGTGGGGGAATCTCCAGGGACACTGGGTCCCCTAGATTTTCTTCTTCTCTCTCTCTCCATCAGGGTTTCTCCCCCTCAGCCTTATCTCCAAGATGCCTCCCTCTTTGGCCACAGCCCTGTGCCATTCACCTTCAGCCTCATAAAGACCCCCCCTAGCACCAGCTCCCTTCTTTTCCCAAATCCCTCCCTTTGGGGGCTGTGGTGTCTGTGATGAGCTCTAGGTGTGTTCATGCGCCCTTGTGTTTGCACAACTAGCCACGACCTGTGCTTCTCTCCCCAACAGCATTTGCCGAAATAGCCTGTGGATCTGCAGCAATGAAGAATGCCCAGGTAGGCACCCTTCCACTCATACCCCCCTTCTCTGGATGGAATGGTATGTAGTCCTTGCTAGATGGAGAGGGCGGCATCTCAAGGCAGGGAGAAGGTGGCCTCTGTACCGGCTGGATACCACCCTCTGACCACAGCCCTGGTTTGGGATCCCAGCTGTGCTGACCCACTTGTGGGCCAGCAGAGGGACACTCAGCATAGCTGAAAGGTGAGAATGCACCTGCACTAAGGTTTTTTTGTCCTTTTCTTCTCACCTATTTGCTCAGAGGATTATGGTTCAATGAACTGTAAGAACTGTAGTGTCACAGTCAACTAAACAAAGATGATGCAAATTCTTTGGAAGTGAAGAGGAAGAAGGACCCGGTAATTCTTTAAATTCAAAGTGAGAAGTTTCTGGAATGCCTGATAGGAAGACCTTAGAATGGCCCAGGAGCTAGGAAGATCAGACCACCGAATGATTTCTTCTACCCCACCCCCTCCCTGGAAAATCTCTTTAGGAAAAGTTGCTTTATAATCTCTCCCCTTTACTGGGTCTTCTGTTTGGCTCCAACTCTATTCTATTTGCTGCAAACTTGGGCCATTTGAAGCTCCCTTCTGCCTCACCCCCCAATTACCCTGGCTCTTCTCCTGATAATTTTCCCCTTTGTGGTCACTCACATGGTGTTTGCTATGTGTTAGGCTCTGTGCTAAGCACTTGACATGCGTGCCTATGAGACGGGTACAGTTTATTCTAGGTTTACAAAAGAGGAGACAGAGCAGGAGAGATTACATAACTTGCTCAGTGTCACACAGCTGCTAAGAGACAATGACAGGACTCAAACTCACACCTCTCTGATTGCTGCTTTTGCCCTTCTCTTTATTCTCTTTCTTTGTCCTCCATCTGTTCCTTTGCAGGAAGGTCTTTGCTATCAACGGCTCAGGAGAGGCCCCATGTTTTAGTTAAAGACCAGCTCAGCCTCAGCTTCTATGCTGGATACTACTTTTTGGGTTCCCATGGTTTGTAGAGCGCAATCAAAAACTGCAAGGCAAATAGCCAGATAACAGGCTCCCCTCCCTTTGGCCCCAAGAGGCCTCATTAGCTCTGGTGGGCTGACAGGGCTTGAACTTGGATACTGGGATCATATTTGGGGCCTGTTGGCTGTAGGGTCACTTAGGATCTTACCCAATGCCCACCACACTGGGAAAATTCTGGAACTAGATGGAAAGTGGGCACTAGGGGTAGGTAAATTCGTCTGGCTCAGGGATGGCCAACCAGTTAGTTTATCTTCTGTGCAATTTTTAAAGGAAGCATGAAGGACAAAAGATTGTTCTTACAAGGAATATCAGTGCTCCAATTTAACATCATCATACCCTGTGAAAGACCTAAGGAGCCCTTTGAAAGACACGAGGTTGCTGCAAATGACTTGCAAAAACACTGTTAATATCTAAATAATAAGCATTCATTGCATAAGATCTGTGAGCCACAATGGACAGAATTAGGAATTCGTTTATTGTCTTTTGTTAGATTGACTACCAGATTAGGAATTCTTTTTTTTTTTTTTAAAGATTTATTTATTTAGTTGAGAGAGAGAGAGATAGATAACAGGGGAAAGGGCAGAGGAAGAGGGAGAGAGAGAATCTCAAGCAGACTCCCCACAGAGCGCAGAGCCCTATGTGGGGCTCAATCCCACAACCCATGAGATCATGACCTGAGCCAAAATCATGAGTCCAACGCTCCACCAACTAAGGTACCCAGGCACACCCAGATTAGGAATTCTTAATAACTACCTTCTACAGGTACCATCTTCCACCCATCCATCTGTCCATCCATCCATCCATCCATCCACCCATCCATCCATGCAAACATCCATCTGTCCATCCATCCATCCATCCATCCATCCATCCATCCATCCATCCATCCAACCTTCCTTCCATCCATCCATCCATCCATCCATCCATCCATCCATCCAACAATGATTTGAACACTCACTGTGCACATGATGGAATGCTTGGTCTGGGACAGATTATAATTCCCTGGTCTTCAGTTCAAAATTTAGAAGATAGCTTTGCTGAGTATGTAAGAAATTTTCTTGATGCCTTGATGGGAAGATAACCAGTTCCAACTCTGCAGTCTACTGAGTGGTTTGATGTTTTGCCCACACAATCACTAAGCTCTTGCTCTGTAGATTTAAAGCCTCAGTTCTGACCCTCTTTTTCAAGTTCTGGAGTTTAGCTGGTTGTTTCCCACTCCATTTCTACCTGTAGCACACAGGTGTATTTCCATACCTTGCCATGATTCAGTGGGCAGTGGGGCTGTCTTATGCCCCCAGTGTGACATTTGCTGATATAGCTTCTGAGGGGAAGGTCCTGGTAGGGAATATGCTTGACTCTGCTAGCATAGCAAAGAGCAGGCTATGACTTCTCCACAGTCCCTGGAAGAGCTGACATTGTGAATCTTAGAAATAGACAGCTGGGTTTTGATTCTCTGGGATAAGATGAGAGTGTACTAGTTGTCTATTGTGTAACAAATTACCCCAAACTTAGCAAACAACAAACATTTATTATCTTAGAGTTTCTGTATGTCAGGAATCTGGGTGTGGCTGAGTCTGGCCCATGATTTCTCGTGAAAGTTGCAGTCAAGTTGCTGACTTGGGCTGTGGTCTTATCTGAAGGCTCCATTGGGACTTTGAAGTTGAATCATGTGATGGTTGGCAGGCCTTGGTCCCTCAGTATGTGGACCTCTCACGAGGATGCCTCATGACATGATAGCTGGCTTCTTCTAAGGTGAGTGACCTCAGAGAGAGTGAGGGAGAACAGCATAGACAGAAGCCATCGTCTTTTAAAAAGCCGATCTCCAAAGTGACATCCTTCATTTCTGCTGTATTGTATTTACTAGAAACAAGTCAACATGTCTAGTCTACACTCAAGGTGAGGGGATCACCCAAAGACATGAATACAGGAGGTGGGACCATGGGGGGAGCATCTTAGAGGCTGCCCAGCACAGGGAGTATAGTGTATGGGGTGTGGGAGGGAGAAGAAATTGCCCAGGAGAGCATCAATCTATATGGGGAGGGGCTGGAGCTTAAATGCTCCTTTAGGCCTTCATTGCTCACTGCACCCCTCTGTTCTTGTTAGCAGTTAGGGCAGCTCCAGGCAAAACTGTGGCTTCCCCAGACTTCCCTTTCTGTAACCCCAAGCCTCTCTTCCCTCTCTTCCTCTTCCTTTCCCCACTGCAACACATGCTGCCCAGAAAAGTTCTACTAATTTGGATCCCACTGAACCATAAATGTTTGGTCAGGGTCAATGAGGAAGGAGCATGCCTATTAACAGGGACTGTTCCTCGAATAAATAATTTCAAACTCCTGATGGAAGAGTGTGGAATGTTCTCTTTTGCAGCTGAGAAGGTGTGAGTGGAGGGTTTCTCACTTGCCCATTCTATATCCATGGACAGGTAGCATAGCAGGGGGCTGGGGGCATGGGCGGTGGGGTGGACTTGGGCAGCCTGGCCGGAATTCCAGTCCCCCCACTTCCCAGCTGGGTGACTCTGGCAAACTGCCTGATCATTTGCAGCCTCAGTGTCCTAATCTGTAACACAGGGATGCGAACAGCAGCTTCATCCCACGGAAGCTGTTATTGGCACACAGCAAGCACTCAATAAACGTTAGTGGTATTCATCCCCACAGCCCCGGCTGCCTCATTAAGCAGGATCAGAGAAGGACTGAGACATAGGCACAAGCCCAAGGAGTCTGGCCTGGGGAGGGCTGGTCAGAGGGAGGGTTTGGCTGGGGCCGGCGGGGCAGGAGGGTCAGACAGAGCCCAGGCCTGCCTTGGGCTTGGCCGTGGGCCAGGGGAGGGCCTTGGTGTAACTTTTTACTCATTTGGTTCCAGATAATTTCTGATGCCTTCTAACCCAGGCCTGTAATTCAACTTTAGGATTCAAGCTGTCTGTTCTGAAGCCTCCAGGAAGGCAGACAGACTTCCTTGTTGGCTAACAGAGACAGTGATCAGGGCCAATGGCTGTCCAGTGGGAACGTGCATTCCTAGGTACCTGGGCTGCCTGGGGTATCCGAATGCCCAAGTTCATGGAAACTCCCCGGGGGCCTGACCCAGCCGATACTGGAGTCATACCAGTCACAACAGGCCTCCTTCAGGACAGGCCAGTGTACCACGTTTAGAAGCCAAGGCTCTTCAATAAATAAATAAATCTTTAAAAAAAGGGTGGGGGGTGTGCCTGGGTGGCTCCTCAGTCAGTTGAGCATCTGATTCTTGGTTTCAGCTCAGGTTATGATCTCAGGGTTGTAAGATCCAGCCCCACATCGGGCTCCACACTCAGCGGGGAGTCTGCTTGAGATTCTCTGTCCTTCTCCCTCTGCCCCTCTCCCCACTCTCTCTTTCAAATAAATAAATAAATCTTAAAAAAAAAAAAAAAGGAAGAAGCCAGGGCTCTTCTCCACTCAGTCTCCGTATCCAGACTCAGTTGTACCTCGGCCCCTTGGCAAGGGCCCATGTGTGCCCAGGCTCAGAATGACTCAGGCTTAGCCCTCACAAAATCAGGCCTATGAGAAACTGCAGGAGCCAACCCATGAGGCAGGGTTGGGTGGTGTCAAGTGCTTTGGGCTCTGAAGCCAGACAGAAGGCCCATGTGTAAATCCCTGTCTGAGGACTTTGGGGCCTTGGGAGAGTTTTTCTCTGTGCTTTACTTTCCTCATCTGTGAACTGGGGCTAGTGACGACCGCCTCATGGAAGCAGTGAATGAGATGCACCCACGATTGCTTGGAAAGGTGGAGAGATGATGTTATTGTGATTTAGAGGCAGGCTTTGGTGAAAAGTTCCACTGGGGGAGTCTGTGTTGCTTTGCGAAAGGCCTAGGGGCTGGCATTTCTGTAGGCTGTGTGGCAAAGGATAGAAGCGGATGGGCTGAGCAGAGGAGCCCTCTGGAGGTCTCACGTGCTGCAGACAAAAGGGTTTCTTTTAGAAGAGGTCATGTGTTTCTATCAGAGGAGAGATTTCTTTTCAGTTTTTTCACGAGAGAAGATCTTTTTTTTAAAGATTTTATTTATTTATCTGACAGAGAGCGAGAGCGCGCACACAAGCAGGGGAAGCGACAGGTAGAGGGAGGGGGAGAAGCAGACTCCCTACCTAGCAGGGAGCCCGATGTGAGGCTCCATCCGGGATCATGACCTGAGCCAAAGGCAGGCACTTAACCAACCGAGCCATGCAGGGGCCCCAACGAGGGAAGATCTTTATTCATGTAGGGGATCTGCTTTAATTCCCGGCTGTTCTACTTTTTAGGCTATTTTAAAAATCACCTGTTCTTCATTGATTCACCAGACTGTTATTGCCCACCTTCTCCATTGGGTGGGGGGCCAGCTGTTGGTTGGGAGCTGCCTTTTGCCGCTTGACCAGCTACTTGACCGGGAATGTCCTGGCCGTCCTGCTCTGGGCAGAGGATGGGTGAGCGTGCCCTGGGGCCCCCCGTTCTGGCTAATGTTTCAGCTCCCAGGGCCAACCGCTAGCCACATCTGTGTTGTTCGGTTTCCTGCGCTCACAGCTCCATCCCTCAGTGGTACCAAGTCGATAAGCTAAATGTCATATTTAGACTTTTGATTCCTGAGGAACTTCAGAGCACGTCAGTGGGGGTCAGAGCAGGAAATCAGATTGGGTGATTAGATTCTAGCTCTGGAAGTTTTGCTTTTGAATGTTTGTGCATTTTTTTCGTTGACTCTTCTTTTCCTAGGCCTTGTCGGAGATAATGCAGGCCCACTTTCATACTCAGATAAGAGCGTGCCTGAGAAAACAGAAAGGTCAGGGGAAGAATTCCCACCCATTCTATTGCCATGGGGTCAAGATGTTTGACACAAAGGGCCATATCACTCTGCAGGATGATGGTGGGTTCTGAGAAATAGCCATTGGAGAAAGGCTTTCCTGTGACACCAGTGGATTTGGAATTTCAGCACATTTACATTGGCTGGGACGACCTTTGCCCCGACCTTTACTGCCTGCCATGAACAGTGACCCCTCACTCTTGCTCTTTTTTGGGGGTACTGCCGTGGGAGGACCTGAGCTGTTCCTGCTTATAACACTTCTGATACCAAATGTGTGTGATTTTTCCCCAAGCCAACCAATTCTTTGACTTTCTGGACTCCAACTGGGTGTCCTACAATTCAATTCTGACACCAATGAGCTGGAATCAGTGCAGACCCTGCAGGTTAAGGGCTCTGTCCCACAAGATGCCCCACTTTAGATGCTGATCCCAAGTACTGGGCTCTCAGGGTACCTGCTTCTGTCTGACTTGGCTACAAGTTGGGGGGTTCCCACAATGCCTTCCTCAGGTCCAATAATTTGCTAGAATGCCTCACAAAACTCGGGTACTTTACTTACTATTACTGGTTTACTATAAAGGATATTATAAAGGATACAAATCACTGAAGAGAGGTGCATGGGGCAAAGACCGGAAGGATCCTGAGCACGGTAGCTTCTGTCCCCGTGGAATTGGGGTATGCCACCCTCCTGCATGTGGATACATTCACTAACCCAGAAGCTTTCCAGATCCTCTTGTGTAGGGATTTTAATGGAGGTTTTATTATGCGGGCATGATCGATCATTAATCCCCAGCCTGCCTCCTGTCCCTGGAGGTTGGAAGGTGGGGCTGAAAGTTCCAACTCTTTCATCCTGCCTGGGTTTTTCTGGTGACCAGCCCCCATCCTGAAGCTACGCAGGGGCCCATCAAGAGTGGTTTCATTAGAACAAAAGATGCTCCTATCACCCAGGATGTTCCTTAGGAGCTCTGTGTCAGGAACCAGGGATAAAGACCAAATATATATTTCTTATTATCACAGAGTGTGATGTTGATAATGATCTTGGGCCTCTCTAATTTCTCCTAATTTCTTGTGGGCTGAGTGTGCCCATGCCGTTTTGGGGTCAGCCGCCCTGGGGACCAGTCAGAGGACACTCACAGTGACCTGAGGCTACTCTCCCCTACCCTTGCCTTCCAACACATCCAAAGGCAGGACCACACCTGGATCCAACACACCTGGATCCAAAGTTGTGCCTGCCAGGCCCTTCATTGCAAATGTGGGCCTGAGGTGGCAGGCGATGGGGGCCTGTGGAGCTTGTCTCTGCCACATGGGCAGCTGGACTCTCCCTATGGCCTCTGAGGACCCCCTGACTGTGTGACAGAGCCCAGCATCAGCCCCTGGGGGTGGGCCGAGGTGGGACTGGCTCTAAGACCCTCTTAGGGGGAACTTTAGGTTTCGACGGGATTAGTGCTCTGGAGAATAAGTGTCTGCAGTTTGGAGGTCAAGGGTGACTGTGTGGGAAGGAGGGCCCCCAACTTTATGGAATGGCCATGGTGTGTGTCTATATTTATTTTTCTAAGGAGTAGAAGGCACAGATGAGAGGAAATACATATAAGGAGATTGGGCAGGGATCCAGATGCCCACTTCAGCTTCATTGGGCCCATTGTGGGCCCTGGGGACCAGATTGCCCTGAGCTGGGGTGGGGCCTGTAGGGGATCACTGGAGACGTAAGCAGAGGTCCCCCCTGCATGGATACTCCCCGGGATGTGTGACCTCTGGTCTGAGGTGCATTGGGCCAGCCACATGGTTGGGTTGTGGTCTGGGGCAGGATGGAGCAGGACTCAGGTTGGGGGTGAGCCGAGGGCTCTGCGTGACGGGGTGACGAAGGGGAGTCCTTGTACCCACCCACAGATGTGTCAGCCTGAGCTAGGGAGCTGGCTGGGGCGGTGCTGAGATCATGGGCAGATGGCCTCCTGGTCCCCCATTGGCCCCAACTAAAGTCACCACACAGACATGCCCATGAAGAGGCCTTAGAACCGCCCCCTGGCCTCTGCCCTGCTGAGCCTGGAGAATGCCTGCCTTACCCCTCCTCTGCCCTCTGTCTGGGCTGGCCTCTCTGCCTGCTTGCCTCAGGGGACTCTTCTGGGTGGGGCTGTGCCCCGGAGCCCCCCACAAAGCTGGTGCAGAGAAAGGCCTGTCCCTGGACCAAGTGGCGCCTGACCCCAGCAGAGCCAGAACCTGTGGGGTGGCTGTGGGGAAGGACAGGGAGCCACAGTGAACCGAGAGCTCAAGCTGCAGGCTCCAGGCTGGGCTCCACCCCTGAGTGCGCATGGCTCTGTCACTGCCCTTGGTTTTCTCTTCCATAAAGTGAGGCATTGAACTAAAGATCCAGCTCTGACCTCTCACGGTTTGAGGACTGGCACCTGAGTTCAAGTCCTCCCGTAGAACTCGTTTTTAGAACGGTGTGGGGAAAGAACGTCTGTGGAGTTCCACGAGAGGGGCCCAGTTTGCCCCCCTCCCCCTCTGCCAGGGGGCTTCCCCTCCTCCTGTTCTCACCGCCTCCCTCTGCATCCCTCCAGGGGAGTGTCTTATCACAGGACAATCCCACTTCAAGAGCTTTGACAACAGGTACTTCACCTTCAGTGGGGTCTGCCAGTACCTGCTGGCCCAGGACTGCCAGGACCACACCTTCTCTATTGTCATCGAGACTGTGCAGGTGAGCTGGCCTGCTGCCCATCAGGAGGCGGTGATGGGCGGGGGGTGGGGGGGGGGGTGGCGCAAGGTGGTCCCGTCTGAGCTGCCGTGGTACATGCTATCCCTCTTTTCTCCAGAGACTGGAGCCAGGAGGGGAAATCTAGAGGGCACACGGCGCCTCCTGAGGGCTGGAGTCCCAGATTTGCTTTGGAACCATAGGCCCAAGCAACAGGAAGACAGCCAGAGGCCTAGAGTTCTTTATAAAGACAAGAGGAGGATGGGAAAGGGTGTGGCGAGCTGAACAGCGGTGAACGCTGGGCTCAGGGCCTTGTCCCGGCACACCTCCCGGGGGCCTACTCACAGAGACCATTCTGTGAGAATGGAATTGTTTCCCCTCAGCAGGCCAGAAGCTGCCTGGGGTTGTGCTCTTTCCCTGAGTAAATGGGTCCCAGGCTGGGGCGCCGTGTGGGGGGTTTGTGGTGACGTCACTCTGTGTGGCCCTCTTGGCAGTGTGCTGATGACCCGGATGCTGTCTGCACCCGCTCAGTCACTGTCCGCCTGCCCCGACTGCACAACAGCCTTGTGAAGTTGAAGCACGGGGGAGGCGTGTCCATGGACGGCCAGGATGTCCAGATCCCTCTCCTGCAAGGTGTGTTCTGTGCTCCACCAGGCCTGGGGCTGGTCCCACTCACCCCTCAGCCCTGCTGCCTGCTCACCTCTTCTGTGAGGAGAGCTATCACTGGAGGGGTGGGTATCTTCAGCATGCATCCTTGCAAGAAAGGAAGGCTTCCTGGAGGAGGAGGAGAAGGAGGAGAGAGGGGAGGGAGGAGAAGGAGGAGTGAAGGAAGCTGTCTGAAGATAGGGAGCTGCTCCAGGCCAGGGAGAGAGTGTAGACGGGGAACAGGACCAAGATTTTCACTAGGTTTGGCCAAAGGGACGAGTTGAGGGTTGGGCACAGTGGTTCTGGTTCTGCTTTGAGATGGGAAAGGAGCAGAGACTGACTCGGAGAAATTAGGGGGTGGCTGGTGATGGGTCTGACCAGAGGATGTCATGGGGCAAAGCCAGGGGACCCAGTGACCTGTGGGAAACACTGACCTATCCAGGGACTTTGCCAGGTGGCAGCACACCCTTTTGGCGGCATAATCACCACCTTCACTCTCCCTCTTCTTGTGCATGACTTCTGTGGACCCTGTGGCCCATTATCCTGGCATTGAGCACAGCCTGTCCACGTGTGTTTAATGCTGTGTGTCTCCCTGTGAGATCCCTTCCTCCAGGGTAAGAGGTATGTCTCCCACCTCGTCTCCAGGGAGAACTGCTGAATGCAGCTCTGCACACAGCATCACACAGCCCTAGAGTGGTGTGCAAGGGCAGAAGCGCCTGGGGGAAGGCTCTGAGTCCGGGATTCAATGGGAGGCCAAGCTGCCTCCGCCGAGGATGCAGGAGCCTCTGCCGCCCTCTTGTGGCAGTAGAGTGAATGGCAGGCTACAGCCGGGATACTGGGGCAACTATTTGTACTACGCCCATCCTGCTTAATCTTCCTCCTGAGACCCCCTTCAACCTCATGGACATCCCCATTTGTCCCCAGCTCCTTGATGTCATTGTTACAGTCCTTTGTGAGATACTCCATATCTTTCCACTATACATCTGCCTCTCACTACCCTGCCCTCTCCCCATCTTGGGCTAAAGGGCTAAATCCTGTCCCTGCTCGGTTCCAGGTGACCTCCGCATCCAGCACACTGTGATGGCCTCCGTGCGCCTCAGCTATGGGGAGGACCTGCAGATGGACTGGGATGGCCGTGGGAGGCTGCTGGTGATGGTAGGTGCCCTCCCGGCCACTGCCGCCTTGCAGCCTGGACCTTACAAAGTACCTCTTGTGCTCTGGCAGAGTGGCTTTCTGTGGTGGGAGAAGAATTCCTCTCTCCCCGGGCCCTACGCCCCCAGAGGGAGGAACAGGCCTCTCTTGTTTATGAGAGACTGGTGTTGTCTGGACGCCCCTTGTTTGCCCTGGGGGTTCTCACTTCTGGGGCTCTGGCACCCCAGGGGCCCCCAGACTGGGTGGGTTCCCCAGGGGCTAGGAGATAGCATTTTGTGGCCCAGCTTCCTGGCTGTGGCAAAGCCTGGCGGCAGGGGGCGTCTCCCGGGGGGTGCCCACAGTGGGCAGCAAGGGAAGAACCAGTCTGGAAGTGGCAGCTGAGACCCTGAGTTGTGCACCCCAGGGGTGCAGACCGTCCTGCCCCTGAAGGGTTGCACTGGGAACCGCCAGATCTCTCACCCCTTCCCTGGGCCTTTGCAATCTTTGCAATCTTGGGGGGCCACTCCCTCTTGGTCTCTGTGGCCCCAGAGGCACATTTGGGTACCAATCCATATATGTCACAGAGCTTCCTTATACATTGTGTCCCCTGGAAATTTCCCGAAGCAGGTGGGCAGGGTGGTTTTCACTGCCTTTTTATGAATGGAGCGACTCAGGCTCAGGTGAGCGGGGAGAGGTGCCCAGCACCGAACACACGGCTGGTGGCAGAGCTGGTCAGCGCTCTGGGCAGTGTCTTTCCTGCTAGATGAGTGCTTCTCATTTTTGGGTCTTCAGATGCCTTTGTACTCTTACAAATTACTGAAGACCCCAAGATTTTTTACAAAGGTTATATCTGTCAATATTTACCACATTAGAAATTAAATCCGAGACTTAAAATATGTATTTACGAATTCACTTAAAAATAACAATAATCATATATTGCACACCTGAAACCAATATAATAATGTATGTTATTGACATTTCAATTAAAAAATGCCAAACAAAAAATAACAATAATAAACCCACTCCATGTTAATAGAAACAATATTTTTTTTGGAAAATAATCATGTTTTCCAAAACAAAAATAAGTAGTGAGAATACCATTGTTTTACATTTCTGCCAATTTCTTTAATGGATGGCTTAATAGAAGACAGCTGGAGTCTCAAATCTACTTCTGCATTCAATCTTTTGCAACATTATGTGTCATGTAGCCTCTGGAAAATTCCACTGCACACTTGTAAGAGAATGAGAGGGAAAAAGCCAAATAACGTCTTTGTATGATTAGGAAAATAGTTTTGGCCTCGTGGACACCTTGAAAGGGCCTCGGGGATCCTTCACTCCCCACCCCAACGGATCCCCAAGACCACACTTGGAGAACTTCTGTCCTAGATCATTCCTCAGACCCTTGGAGCATCCCCTCTGAAGCCACAGGGTCCTGTGTGCTATAGGGCCCTTGGTATAATCCTGTCATGGGCATCTGGGCATTCCTGATGAGATCTTGGTGTCCTCTGTCCTCATGACACCATATTCTTTCCCTTGTCTTGGAGTCCTAGAGAAAGTTCCATATTAGTGACTTTCTTTTCTAAAAAATAAACCTTATGACCACAGACCATAGAGCAGAAAGATCTTGGAGAGCATCTTGTCAGCCTCTCATTTGCAATTAGAAATAAAATCCCTTTCTGGAGCCAGAAAGAACTCACCCTGGGTCTCGTGGTCATTGGGTTACAGAGCGAGGATCAGAGAACACAAGTCTCCTGACCCCATCCCCTTCAGGGAGGGTGCCCCCCTACCCTACCATCAGCCATCCCACCTTCTCCATAACCTCCCACATCCCAGAAAGGGTGCTCTTGATCTGAGGCCCGAGCCTATGCTTGAGTCAAGCCAAGGGGACTGAGGGGACTGAGGAAGCTACCGTCTTAGTGGGGGATGGTGGGACAGGAGGCCCCGGGGGTGACCAGAGGGACTTTGGGGGGCATGAGGGCACTCACGGTCTGGGAATGAGGGGGGAGGAGAGGGTGCTGCGGCATGGGTGGTGGAGTGAAGACATCACCGATTTCGCCGCTCAGCTCAGGCCCAGCCTTGACTGCCGGCATTATGTTTCAGCCTGCGTCCTCAGGAGAACCTCATTCATTCATGAACTCACTCATTTGTTCAATCATTGACACAACACACATCTAGTGAGTGTGCACAGTCACCATTCGAGAGGCCGAGGTTGCAACAGTGAAACAAAACAGACGAGAATCCCTGCCCCGCTTAGTTTATGTTCCACTTGGGGGAGACAGAGAAGAAACCCAACCAAGCAGTAAATTATATCATATATTAGAAGGTGATAAATCCTGAGGAGTTAAATAAAGCAGTGAGAGGGACAAGAAGTGTCAGGGTCAGAGGATTTACATTTTAAATAGGGAGGGCAGGGAAGGCCTGGGTGTTTAGTATGGCAACACTTGAAATTTGTAAAGCAAACAAGGAACCATCCCTCTGTTCTCTTTCTTTTAATGATATTTCCTTGGGTACCTTTTATTTGGGTCCGGACCCTTCCACTACATTGTTCATCCTGCATCCTGTGAAGTCATAGCTGGAAGCTGGAAGGGGCTCCTAGAGATGATCATATGGGGCCCAGTCCTACCGCATGATGGTTTCAAACCAGGGAGGCCATCCAACCATGTTAGTTACACGCAGAGCAGGAGTCAGGACTCTGGGGTCCCAGCCCCGGCTCTGTCTTTGGGTCAGGGCCCTCTTAATAGAAACCAGTGGATGCCCCCAGTTGTAAAGTGTGAAAGGCAAGTTTGACTCACCAAGGTGTCCATGAGTGTGCACTTTGGGTTCAGAAGGCTGGAGAACAAACCATTTGCTGGTGGCCTAGAGTTTGGCCTCCAGAACCATCCTGGTCACCCATAGGAGACTGCCCCAGAGTCCTTGCTGACCCCAACTCCTCTGATCGCACCCCCTAGAGTCCTCCTGGGCTCATGGCCTTTTCTCTCCAGTGACACCCAGTGGCTGAGTCGAATTCAGATGGGTGGATGGAACAGAGCATGCTGGACGGGGACTCCACCTGGCTACTGGTCCCAGCCCTGTGACCTTAAGCCAGTCACTTTCCCTCTCTGGGACTCAGTGTCTCCATCTTTTTTTTTTTTTTTTTTTTTAAGAATTTATTTATTTATTTGACAGAGAGACATAGCGAGAGAGGGAACACAAGCAGGGGGAGTGGGAGAGGAAGCAGGTTTCCTTCTGAGCAGGGAACCTGATGTGGGACTCAATCCCAGGACCCTGGGATCATGACTTGAGCTGAAGGCAGACGCTTAACGACTGAGCCACCCAGGCGCCCCTCTTTAAATGGCTAGATGATCTCTAAAGTCCCTTCTGGCACGACTGCTCTCTGACTCTAATGATTTAAGAGCCGGGATGTTGCTGGTGGTTAAGCTTACACCGCATTTAGCGCCCCCCCCCCCCCCGCCCCAGCCTCGGGCTTTTGCTGCAGTTTATTAAATTCGTATTTATTTTTGACCCGGGGAGCGTTTTTTGATGAAAACCATCTCATTAGCGACAGGCAGCTGTGGCTGCTTCGGCGGCCGCCGCTCCAAGGGGGTCTGCGTCTCCCCGCAGCTGTCCCCAGTCTACGCGGGGAAGACGTGCGGCCTGTGCGGGAATTTCAACGGCAACAGGGGAGACGACTTCATCACGCCCGCAGGCCTGGTGGAGCCCCTGGTGGAGGACTTCGGGAACGCCTGGAAGCTGCACGGGGACTGTGAAGACCTGCAGAAGCAGCACAGCGATCCGTGCAGCCTCAACCCGCGCCTGAGTATGCAAGCCCGGTGGGGTGGGGGCAAGGTGGACCTCGCAGAGCCCAGAGGTCGCCCGGCTTCCAGTGCCTTCCATGGCACGGTGCACCCACTTTGGGGGGACAGGAGCACTTTGCTTTTACCATCAGCATTTGATTATCTGCATCTGGGTCATTTATTCTTCCAAGTACCTTGACGGTGCATCCCCCCCCCGCCCCCCGCCGTGGGCCGAACCCTGGGAAAGAAGAGAATGGTCCATGTTTCCTGTCCCTGGACTTTCTCAGTCTGTTGGCGCAGCAGCCACACAGACCCAGAATTAAATTATCGGGAGATAAATGCACTGGGATGGCCATTTGCAGATTAATCTGTGGCAACATTTCGGGCCTGCATGAATTTCCCCCTTACCCAACCCATCCTGGAACTCTTTCTCCCTCTGTCAGTGGCGTGCTCTGGAAATTCAGTTGGTTATGTATTTAAGCCAAACGTAATTAGGAAAGTTTATTGGCTGCAGAAGAAAAATCACAGTGATTTCCTGAGGCACGGGAGGTTGTTTTGCAGGGAGTGCTGCCCAGCGAGGAGCTGGTGGGCGATCTCAGAGCGGGAGGGGTCCTGGCCCTCTGGGGGCGGGGCGCCGACGGTGGGGGCGGGGCCCGGGCCAAGCCGTGCGCGGCGCTCTCTCCCGCCACAGCCAGGTTTGCGGAGGAGGCGTGCGCCCTGCTGACGTCCTCCAAGTTCGAGGCCTGCCACCGCGCCGTGGGCCCTCTGCCCTACGTGCAGAACTGCCGCTACGACGTCTGCTCCTGCTCCGACGGCAGAGACTGCCTTTGCAGCGCCGTGGCCAACTACGCCGCCGCCTGTGCCCGGAGAGGCGTGCACATCGGGTGGCGGGAGCCCGGCTTCTGTGGTGGGTGCCCTCCCTGCCCGTCAGTCCCCACACAGCCCAGCCGAGCCCTCCTCGGGTGCCCCGCGCACGGCTCCTCCTTTTCTAAGCACTGTCTCTGCATTACTGCATTCAGAACCCGGCCCAAGCGCATTTGGCAAGCCTGGGTCGTAAAAACTCTTCGTTTGCAGCCGCTTTCGCCTTCCATCTCCAGCAAGACACGGTGGTGGGGACTGGCTCTCCCACAGGACAGTGTGATTACTGTGGCCTGTTCTAGGAGCGCGAGTTGCATCCCCCCTACCTCGAGGTCCAGAACCTGGGAGTCCTTGCCAAGCAGAAATTTCCTGTGGCTGCTGCCACCTAGTGTTCAATACGTGTATGGCCAGGTTGAGGAGTAGAGGGAGTCCACAGATCCCAGGGGACATTATCTGCACCCCAGAGGGTCTCATGAAGGCAGTGGGGGGCGGGGGGAATGCACGTACCAATCCTTCCTTATAACTCCAGGCAAACCATCAGTGGACTCCTGGCCCAAATCTCTGATAAAGTTGTGTAAAGTTGAATGACATCATTGTCCCCAGCTGACTTTGGAGTCTCACTCTGCCATGTTAGATTTCTGCCACCAGAGCTGGTATCTGCTCCACATTCTGGTCCCTTGAGCGGCTAGATTGTGTTCACTTTGTTGTTGGTGGTGCTGCTCTGGGAACACGTGCTGGGTGGCCCAGCAGGGTCAGGCAATGCTAGTGGTGTAGAGCCAGAACCTTCTTCCATTTTTAACTGCTTCCCTACTAGGTGACTATCACACTGAATAAAAGCACACTTAGATTAAGGCAGGGGCAACCAAGGAAGGCTTTCTGGAGGTGGTGTACTTGACCAGGCTTTAAAAAGGCACCATCTTGGCAGAAAAGAGCTGTTCCACGGTGGGATAGTAGTAGTGATGCGTGGAGATGAGGGGGGATAGTCTGAGAGGATGAGGTGTCATGAATATTCTGATTTTTAGGGTGAAGTGGATGTGCTTGGAGATAAAAATGTCCATGGTCTTGGCAGAAGCAGGAAAATAGGAGCTATGAGAAATGGAAGGTCCTACTATCATATCATGTATTTGAAGAAAAGCTTAGGTAGGGGGCTCTAGAATGTCTAGAAGTGTTGGGGCCTAATGAGCGCCAACTCACGTTTGGAGTCTAAGCAAGGTCATAAAAAGAGGAGCAGAGGCAGAAGTGAGGACAAAAGGAACCATGTGTATGCAGGCATGTGCTTGTGCCTCCCTGACCCTCTGGGCTCAGGACGCCACAGAGTCGTGGCCAGCAGCTGGAGGAGCGGAGTCTGAGGCCTCCCTGGAACGGGCCTGTGACTTCCCTGCTCTGCGGCCTTGAACTCTTCATCTCGCCCTCCACACCGTAGTTTCCTCATTGGGGCTTGCTGTTTAGAAATTGGGCAGAGTAATGAGGAGTAATGAGGAGTAAATGGCATGCTGTTCGTGAATATGGTTGTCTGCCATATCATGGTTTGGTTGTCCACCAACATTAGAAATTCTGTATTACCAGTGTGCTACAGCATCTGAAGGATTTCCTAATTTAGGACGTTGTCCCAGATGCTGAGGGCTTACTGACATATTCTGTAATCTCGAAAGAGCCACCGTCCTTCACCTTCATGGAGAACAGAACAGGAAGGAACAGGCTGAGATGTGGTTAGGGAGGCATAAAATGTGGGGGTAGGGGGTGGGAAGGAGTTTTCTGTATCTATGGGCTTATGTGGAGGTGAACCAGAGAAAAGGTTGGCCAGAGGGCCCTGGAGGCCTGAACCTAAGGAGGATGGGCATTTTCCTCCTGAAAAACGAACAGAGCTCCCTAAACCACGGACTTCATCCTTAAGAAGAGCCCACACCAACTGGGGACGCTCAGGGAGCAAGGACTGATCACATAGCTACTCTGTGGGATGCTGGGAGGAGCTCTGGGAGAAGCACACACATTTTTGTTTGTCTTGTAACTTGACAAGAGCATGGGCTCCTTGCAGGCAGGGACCAAGTCTGACCATTTCTGCATCTGTGAGCCTAGCACAGCCCCTGGTACACAGTGGGTGCACAGTAAAGATCTGTTAAGCTGAGGTATGCATTGCTTCTTCTGGGGAGGAAGGCCAAAGGAGAAATTTCACAGGGCTCTAAGCCAGCTCCGGGGACAGTCTGTCAGAGAAAACAAGCTCTCAGCTCCAACTGCTCCTTAATGGGCGAAATGTGACCTTATTGTCAGAGGTTCGATGGATTGAAAGCAAGTTGTATTCTTACGACCCGACACGCACCATCTTAACCCACCATGCTCTAAATATTCATCCACAGACCCAGGCTCTCCACTAGTTCAGAGAAAAATCCATGTCTAATATGGCGACAGAGCCCCCTCCCTTCTCAGCTACCCTCAAACACCAAACCCTGAGCGGTTGCAGGAAGCGGAGGCTGCAGGGGCTCCCCAGATGCTCCCATCCCCGTGTCCAGGGTCCGTAGCCTGGTCTTCCTTTTACAGCTTCTGTGACACATGCTGCCTGTGGGTTCCTACTGTAGAAATGGATTCTAAGAGAGAGGGAAGGATTCCAGTGGTCTCAGGAGGAGTGTCCTCAGAGTGAGGCTCTCATTTCTTGGACGCAGCAGTTGAGCAATGGGAATGGGCATTTTCCCGCACCCTGCAGTAAAGAATTTCACCACTGGGGTGCTCCCGGGAGTACACGTGTTGGCCAGAACCCAGGAGTGCCAGGGCTCCTTAGGCCTAGGCCTTTCTCTGGAATGCCCCTCCCTTCTGGAGCCTGCAGAGCCCGGGCTGTGTTTCCCCAGTCATCGTAGTGATAAAGTAGCAGTAACCATGTACCACGGACCTTGTTAGCTCACTCAGCCTTCACAACAAGCCAGGTGGGTATGAGTCTCTTCCAGCTAGGAAACTGCTCAAGGTCATGCAGTAACTAATAGCAGAACTGGGGCTCAGACCCAGGAATTTGGGAGACAGAGCCCATCTATTTCCCTGGGTTGCTGCTTGGCCCCACGCCCTCTTGGATCTTGGACGCTATTCTATCTCTCTGTGGGAGGCCAGGGAGAGTGAGGGCAGTGGGGAGGCATGCGGCCTGCTTTGCTGGGGCGGGTTCAAGAGCCGCCCTGCTCTTTGTGGCTGTCTTCCAAAGCATGGCTCCTTAGGGGCAGTTTCCCTTTTAGAGCATAATGGTGAAGAGCATGAGCTTTTGGGTCAGGGAGAACTGGGTTCAAATCCTGCCTCTGCTTCTGCCTGGGAGGCATGATCTTGACAAGTCACTCAGCTTACATTGAGTTTTCTTCCCTGGAGGAAGGGGGCCATGAGATCTAGCTCAATGAGAGGCATAAAAGGCATAAAAGCTGTGTGAAGAGCAGGGTAGGTGCTAAATTAATTATCAGCATCCGGGGAGAAATGCCCTTGCCTGCCGCTCTCAGTTCTTTTTAATATTCACAATATCAACATCCCCCCGATTTCTATACGTCCCAGGCTTCAAGGATTCAGAGACTGCTAAGGCTGGAGCCCTCGGGTTCAGCAGAGGGGGAAACCGTGTTATTATCAGAGACATTTGCCAGCCTGAAAATGTGGTTTTGCTCAGAGTGGGAAAGGAAGGTGGTGACCGTATAGATATAATTGGGGTCCCAGCTGCAAGGGGTGGCACCCCAAGTCCCAAAACCCCAGTCCTTCCATCTGCATGTTTCCATGCTTCCACTGAGGCCTTCCTCCCCTCCCTTCTCTCCCAGCACTGAGCTGCCCACAGGGCCAGGTGTACCTGCAGTGTGGGAACCCCTGCAACATGACCTGCCGCTCCCTTTCTTACCCGGATGAGGACTGCGACGAGGTCTGCTTGGAAGGCTGCTTCTGCCCCCCAGGGCTGTACCTGGATGAGAGAGGAGACTGTGTGCCCAAGGCCCAGTGCCCCTGCTACTATGATGGCGAGATCTTTCAGCCCGAAGACATTTTCTCGAACCATCACACCATGTGGTAAGTGTGAGCAGCGGGACTGTGGACCCCAGGAGTGGCAGAGCTCGGAAGGGAAATGGTCCTCCAGGTCCTTCACTTCCTGGATGGGAAACTGAGGCCCAGGAAGGGAAGGGACTTGTCCAGAGTCACACGGCAAGTCAGAAGCAAAGCTGGGACTTCACCCAGCTCGAATGACTTCCTTACCTCTCGGGGACCTAGAACAGGCTGCCGGTAAGACTCCTTCGGCTTCATTGCCAACTCCCATTTACCTGCACTAGGCCTCAGTTTCCCCTTTTGAGAACAGTAAATGGAGGCTCCGTGTCCCTCCCTCCAGCCTCCTGGCAGTGTTCTCAGGCAGAGGAAAAGAGACCATGGCAGCTTTGCTATCCCGACCTGCTTCATGCACTGCCCTGAGAAATAGCTCCCACCACACGTGCTTCTTGCGGCCCTTTGCCGGGGGCCTCGGTCACAGTCAGTTCCAGCAGGGCCATCACGGTCACAGGAGAAACTGGTAACGCAGCGTTTGTTGGGCAAACACTTCCTTGGCATGTGCTCTGCCCTGGGTGCTGGCCTAGAGGCTGGTGATCCAAAGGTGAACAAGACACAGTGTGGGCCCCAAGGAAGCTGACAGTCTACTAGGGAGACCAATTAAAATGTCTTGATCCTGGAATATTTGTCATAAAAGGAGAGAGAATAGTGTGAGGAGCCCTAAGGCATCCATCCCCAGCTTCAGCGATGATCAGCACTTTGCCAATCTTATTTTATGTATCCCCACCTCCCCTTTTTGGCTGGAATAAAGAAAATCTCAGCTATTATGTCATTTCATCTGAAAATGTTTCAGTCTGTATTTCTAACAGATAAGCACTTAAAAAAAACCAAATGTAACCGTAATATCATTATTAAGCTAAGCATTAACAGTAATTCCTGATAACACCTAATATTCCAAACATGTTCACTTTTCCCTGACCATCTCAAAATGTCTTTTTATATATAATTGGTGTGTTCAAATCAAAGTCCAAACAAGGTCTGGACATTGCATTTGGTGTGAAGCTTTTCCTCTTTATGTAGTGAGATAAATTTGCAGTCTTTCCCAACCTCTTGTGCCCAAAGTGTGTTGTTCACACTTAGAGTACAACAGTGGTTGTCACTGGACTTGGATTTCAGCACAGTGTATTCTATCTCCCGTCTGGACTGTGACCTCCCAAGAGTAGAGACCATATCTTAGGCCCCGATCCCCAGCACCTGACACACTTCTGGCAGAAGATAGGGACGATCAATGTTTCCTGAGATGAAAGAACTATTATGTTTGGTAGACTGGCCATTTCGTAGACATAAAAAAATCTCTACTCATTCAGAAAAGGGCAGTTTGCTTCCAATTGGAGAAGACTCAGTGTAAGAGGTAGCTTTGGGTTTGGGGAGGATTCTAGCAGTGGGCGTGGGGTGGGCCCATGCCCAGGAACTAAAACACACAGAGAGTCCTCACCCATCCCCAAGGTAAGTCCTCTGTCAGAGCATGTGTTGCATGAAGGGAAGAGAAGCTTGGAGGGATGCTGAGGGTCTTTGAAAGGCAGGGTGAGGACTTGAGCAGTAGGCAGTGAGGACCTCAGAGGTGTTGAACAGAGAGCAGACACCAAGCATCAAAGCATTCTGGAAGCTGCGTGAGGCATGAAGGCAGGGAGATCAGTTGTGGGAAGAAGTTGACACAGTCTGGTCAAAAGGTGCTAAGGCCCTGGGCCAATACCAGTGGTGGAAATGGAGTGAGGGGACAGATGCCAGAGACCTTGGGAAGTAAACAGACTGGGGGCCTGTGCTGGGGGGATGAGGTTTGCTGAAGATGGCCCCGGGGCTCTGAACAGGAAGGGAGGACAAGAAGAGCAAGGGGTTTCCTCATTGGTAGAGGGAAGATAATGCGTTTGGTCTTGGCCCAGATGATTAAGTTACCAAGAGGGCATATTGGTGAGTGAATGGAGTCACTGGAATGATGGGTATGGGTGGAATGTGAGGCTGGACAAGATTTGTGTGGCGGTAGGGGGATATAGCCATGGGAGTAGCAAGGCTCGTGGAGGGCATGGGCCGAGGAGCAGGAAAGGGGACTGAGTTCAGAGCTTGGGGGAGATGTTCAGAGGGCCAGGGGAGGAGAACAAGGATCCCATGAGAGAGGCCAAAGGAAAAAGGCCAGCAGAAAGGCATAACTAGGGCAGAGCCATATTGTGGAGGGGAAGGGCACAGGGGAGTAATAACATCTGTTGGTTTGAGTGCTGGGCCTTCGCCCAGTGGTCGTTTTACTGCAGTTGTCCGGCTATGATTTTTAGGGTGTTTCTCTCTGGGACCTTAAAACAACCCTGTTAGGAGAAAGCATTGCTTTTTTAGTAAAGAATTTGAGGCTTAGAGAGATTATCGCTTTCCCAAATCATCTAGCGAGTGATAGAACCCAGGGACTCTTGAACTCTTCATGTTACATGGAGAGTAGGTTGTTGAATTTGGCGACAGAAGGTCACGGTGGCCCCCATGTTGCAGTAGCGTGGTGAGGAAAGCAGCCAGAGGGTAGGAGGCTGGGGTGACTTGGAGGGCAGCAAGTGCCCCTGGTCATTTTACCACATCGGAGGCACCAGGAAGGTGGGAGATGAGGTGCAGCAGGCCGAGTGAATAGCCCTGGCTTCAGGCTCTCTTCAGGATCCGCACATCAGTGACCGCTCCTTGATGTGGAAACCTCCTCTTCCCGGTCTCTCCTTCAGGCACCAGGGCTGAAAGCTAGTGGCCATCCTGTCTCTCCACTTCATTTAGAAAACTGGACTTCCTGGAGAGTGGGAGCCAGTGGGAACTCAGGGCCTGTTTGTGGCTCTTTATTTTTACTCTTTAGACGATACACTGCAGAATGAGCCCCGCAGGGCACATGCTGGGGATGCCCACAACAGGTGGTAGGGAGTGCAAACACCTGTGGCTAGTGAGTGTCTTCGGGCCATTTGGTTGGTCATCAAACAGGCTTCACAGTAGAGGGCTTGCTCTCTTGCAAGCCAAGGTCTGGGACAGGAGTTGATTATAAACTTATCTGCAAGGTTTTTCTTTTCTTCTTTCTAAAAATAAAATTAAGCTTTTTAAAAAAGATTTATTTATTTGAGAGAGAGAGTGAGAGAGAGAGAGCATGAGTGGGGAGGGAGGGAGAGAGAGAAGCAGGCTTCCCGCTGAGCCCCAAAAGTAAGCTTTTGGGTCACATCTAAATGACAGACAGACCGTGACATTTGGGGGAGGATATCTTTAAATCAGGTGTTAGTTAAAAACCAGAAGGCACAGTTTCTGTATCTGCCCAGAGAGGGAAGGGCTGATTCTCTTGCTCATTCAATTAAAAATTGATTGAACAACATTCACATTAAAAATGTTCAAGATCATTACAGCCAGAGAAATACAAATTAAAACAATTAGTGTTACCTCATATCTATTAGAGTGGAAAATTTTGAAATCTGTATAATGGCAAGTGTTGGCAGGGCTGTGGAAAAGGGGCCCTCGATCTGCTACTGGTGGGACATACACTTTTCAGATAACCCAGTATCTTTCCAAAACCAAAATCTGATGATGTCACACCCCTGCTTGGAATTCTTAATAGCTTCCCTTCAGGAGTCCTCAGGATAGAGACCAAATCCCTAAGATGGCCTCCCAGGTCCCTTGCACTTAGACCCCTGCCTACCTCTCCCCTCTCCAGCCCCCCGCCTCCTTTAATCTGGAAAGTGCCTTGCTCCTTTCAAGTGCAAGGTCAGTTGCCTCCAGGAGAGCAGTTGGCACAGTTTATGTAAATTAGATATCCACACTTGATAGTCCCACAGTTCCATTCTTGGGCATATATACTAAAGAAATTCTCACATGGGCTCTTAAGAGCATGTGTATGAAGATGTTAATCACAGCTTTGTTTGCCGTGGCAAGGAGCAGGTGATAATCTCTGTCCATCCCTGGGAGGGTACGTCCTTAAAATGTAGTGGATGATGGAGCACTGGGTGTTATGCACAAACAATGAATCATGGAACCCTTCATCTAAAACTAATGATGTAATGTGTGGGGATTAACATAAGAATAAAAAAAAATGTAGTGGATGCACACTGTAGACGGTTGTGCAACCTCGGAAGGCTCCTGGCAAGTAGGTATGTATTAGCAGGATTGAATCTTTTTTTTTTTTTTTTTTTTTAGAGAGAGAGAGAGCAGGGGAAGGG